TGCGTTCATTTTTTCAATAAATCTTTGTGATTTCCACATGTACAATTTGTATTCTCTATTGTGATTCTCACATTCATACGTGAATTCTATTCAATCATTAAGCATTTTTTTTTCTTTCTTCATCATGACTAGCAGCAGACTTTTCTTCAAGATTTCTAATAAATAAATGTAGATAAATGAATAAATCTGTTTTAATCAATTAATTAAATTAAATGTTATATAATTACTTAATTGTTTTTTTATAATGACACATATTGCAGTATCTTGCATAAAACTGCCAATATATTGTAGTCATTTTAATTGCACCATAAACCATGCAGGATTGAGGTGAAGCAATGAAGAATCTAATATATTGTAGTTCATTCCAGCTTGGTGGTGGAGGTTGTTTCAATCCTTTAATCTTGATTTTTTCCAAATTTGTTGGGTTGCATTACATGTATCCATTAAGATAAAATGGAATCTTGAACACGTTTGCGCCAGTGACAACAAATTGGATGGTGGTAAATCTTCACAAATTTGGACAAAGATATCAACTGGTATGTTTGCAAAAAACGCAAACTCTTTCCTTCAATACTATATTTTTGTGGTAAAAAAAATGAGAATTCCTAATATAATAATATAACTAGAGTAACGACGAGTGGCGACCACCACCACCACCATCCTTAAAACACTTACCCATTTTCCTTGGCATTTTTTTTAATGTCTTCGTTTATTAATGTTTCTTGTTAACATTTTTTATTAAAAAAAAGGTTTGTAATTTGATTGACGTGTTACACATTAATTACTTATCTATTGGATTTTTTTTGGGAGGACAGACGCGAATTGATTTTTTTTTTTTGGAAAAAACAATTTATTTTTTGACAAAGTCCAAGGTGACAAAATGTGAGTGTTGTTGTTTGGTTTGGTTTGGATCTCCTAAAGAAAATGTGTTAATAACTAACCAGAGATACTTTTTTTTATTTGTATTGATATTTAGTTTATAAATATTTTAATTGGAATCAAAACCTTGCTGGGTAATTATAAGATTCTTATCAAGATGATAATAAATGATTGGTAATTTGCTTTGCGTAATCGTAATAATAGTATTATTATTAATATATAATCACAAGAAGATGTCAAGGAAATGCACTGTTGAAAAAGAAACAATTCAAATATGAAACATTTTGATATGCAATGTTTGATTATCGGAAATTTTATAGATGTTGAAGCACACACACTACCTTGAACACATACAGTCATTCTCATCTTCCTTGTGTACACAAGGCTAATTTGACTTCATCCCCGAAGATACAACGATGTCTCCGATACCAGGGGGAGCACGGCCCTGGAGTTTACTGAGACTTCATCAATCTTCAATGACACCTTCACTAATCTTCCATCACAGCACCCAGACCAGAGAAGGCTGCTGGCATGCTAGCCGAAAAGTTGCCTGAAATAAAACGAATAATTTAAATAATTAATTAATAATTCAAATAAAAGCAAATAAAGTAAATAAAGCAAATAAAGAATTTGTATTAATACTAATATTAAAAATGTGTAATTGGAAAATGGCCTATTTCCAAAATTTTTATTGGACATTCTAAATTTTATCAGAATGCCTGGAATTTTATAATAGGATTTTGCTTCATCAACTTATTTGATGCTAATACCCTTGATGTGTAATCAATCAAATAAGTCATTGGTTATTTAGTCATCTACATTCATTTATTGAAATTGGATTGGTCAATTCTTTGATGCAAAAGAATAATTGTATGTTTTAGGATATATAAAGTAAGAAAATAAGTATGTTTTAGGAATTATTAAAATTCAGAGGCATATTTTAAGTATATAATTAGGATATCTACATTCCTATTACTGTAAAAAATAAGAATGTTTTAATTGTAAAATAAGTATATTCATACATATTTTGCAAATAATTAGTGGATCATCTTTTTTAAGTATGTTTTGTAAAAAATAAGTAGGAAATAAGTATCTAAACTTTTTGTAGGGAAATAGAATTGTGATCATGTTATATTTATTTGGCAGTCATTTTGTAGCGAAAAAATTTAATCTTGTAGCTTTCAATGTCATACCTGCGCCAACTGCAAAAGAATTTCGATCAATGTGATGAATTTATTGACCATTTTACAAATACTTGTGTTGGCATTCTGTTCTTGGTAAAAATGTCTGAATTATTGATAGTACAGTGATTTCATCTTTACATATTGGTATTGCTTTACAAGTCCTGAAAAAATGACCCAACGAATGACAATAATAGTTCAGTCAATTTTTTCTCACACATTCCAAAAAATTCAGTTTAACAAAGTCCAGAAACAAAAACAATTTGCGACCTGCAATTGAAATTAATAGCTATAGAGATAGAAATAGAAAAATAGAAATAATAGATCTTAAGAATAGTGATATGAAAAATCCTTAACCGGTTAAGAATTTGAGGAAAATTTGTTAGAATTTCCTTCAAAATAATATATTATGGATGTTGTTTTATTTTTTATTTTTTATTTTTTTTTTGTGAATGCATTTCTAGCTGAAGAAAACAACCTCTCAGATGGAACTGAAGTCGCCAAATAGCCCCCAGCTTGTACTTATAGGTTTAAGTAAAAGTCAATTTCATATTTTGTGTTAATATCAATTGTTTGATATCGAAAGAAGTATTTTTTTAATCGTTATTTTCCTTGGTTATTTTTATCAATTATTCATCAATTTTTTGATTTATATTATGAAGTTGTTTTATAATAAAGCAAGAAACCAAAAAGGGCTCAATAACTATTTAAAAATAAAATCGTTCTTTATCAATAAGTGATGCAATTAATTAAATTTTCATAAAAGATCAATTATAAAACCAACTATAAATATCAGACCAATTTCAGATAGTAAAACCTTTGTTTTGCTCTCAAAAAATACAAGGGTATTCATATATGTTTTTTGTCTTTCAGTTCCGTTATCTTTTTCCTAATACATTATAATTATTGGTTGAGCATTTTTCTTTAAAAAGTTTTTGATTTGAATTTTCTCCTTTGTAATTGGCAAAAAAAACCAAAAAAACAAAGTGATAGGTGTAATTCACTGATGCGTAATTTACAGGACCTGATGGCAAATATTTGAAGGTTGTACGATTTCTAATAATTTTGGAGAAAAAAAGTTTAGGAACAAATATAAGGGTTTTTGAGCTACTAATGATTCTAATGATTTTCTTTGATTGTTTTTTAAATTAATCGACAATTCATTTTTTAGTAATAATTCAATTAATATTAATGCAATAAATTCAATTGAAAATTGGATATATGGGGGAACGCTCTATATAGGAAAACCAGGTTTATTAATATAAAAAAATTTTTTTTTGTGTAAACAACTAATTAAATTTGTTACACATATTAATATACGAAGTACGTATTCATCTTTAAAATTTAATTGATGATTTATTTACATTAATTTTATGATTCCTGAGCATACAAAATTCATCTGTGATGCAAATTTTGGATATATTAAAAGTAAATACAAAAATAGAATTATAAATATAGTTGATGATGTTGAAAAGGTGATAAATGATTCAGCGGAATGTAATAAGCCTGTTAGATATAATAATGGCTTGAATTGGAGCTGGTATAATTTTACATTGTTATTTGAAGGGCATTTCTGAAGTCTTCCAAATATAACAAAATATTATCAGTAGTTTACCAAATGATATTGGAAAAGTTTATGTTTCCAAAAAATCAGGTGGCACAGAAACTTCTTTTAAACTTTTAAAAAATGATGATTTTGATAAAAATAATCAATTAACCTACTTGAGATTGCTCCATTAACAAAAAGATAGGAAAATTTATTGTTATCAGCATTTAGACCCAAACTTTAGAGATATACTTTGCCCCAATCTTAATTAATTTTACGTAATAAAATAATTTTTAAACAATTAAATACTTTATTAGATACTCAAAATGGTAAATTAATACTAATGACAAGCGTAATAAAAATTATGAATTAGTAACACTCTATGGGGTCTCCGTGACCATTAAATTTATTAAATTAATTATGAAATGTGCAGTATGTATATTATTGCTTTTTTTAAATTTTGATTTTTAAATTCGATTCAAATAAAATTTTGGTTACCCCCAAGAATTTATTTTTGTACCAAGTAAACCACATCTAATTTTTTCACAAATTATAATGTTATAGTTTAATATTATGCAAAAAAAATTTTTGACCAAAAGTCTCGATTTTCCTAGAACGCCCTCCATATTTGTTATACAAAATATGTACAAGTCAAAAATTTTTAATATAATACAGAATTTGGGTTGTACTAGTTTTCCATTTTCTTTTCAATGATTTAAATACTTTAAATTCTTTATATCTAATTGACTTTATTATGAATCATTGGAAAAATGGTCTTGCTTTGTTTTATTGTTTTATTTTAGAAACTTGGAAAAATACATAATTTGTTACTCGCAAAAATTTGGACAAATAATCTATCGAATGCTTGTTTACTGATTTATTTTAAAAACTTGGAAAAGGTTGCTATTCGCAAACATTTGGACAACTATCAATTGTTTGTTTATTGATTTATTTTTAGAAACTTGGAAAAGGTTGTTTCTCGCAAAAATTTGGACAAATAACCTATCAATTGTTTGTTTAATTGTTTATTTTAGAAATTTGGAAAAATTTGTTACTCGCAAACATTTGGACAAATAACCTATCAACTGTTTGTATTGGTTTTATTTAGAAAATTTGTTACTCGTAAATCTTTGTTGCTTTAAAATAATCTATTTGATTATTATTTTATCAATTTTGGTAATTTGTGTAAATTTCATAATTTATATGTACGTGAATCCTCTGTGATATCTTTTTGACAGGTTTTGAATTAGCATCTTTCGAAACTCATAAATTCCTTTTTTTAATCCCTCGACTTTTGGAATGAAGGAGGTTTTTTATCAATTTTACCATGAGATAATTTTTTCAGAATCAGAAGAAACAGATTTGGAATCAGACTCACTTTCTATAAGAAACAATGCCTTTGTGGCAGGTTTCTCTTGTATCTTTTACCTTTTGAAGTAGATGAGTTTTCAAATTGGGGCTTTTCATCTTTTTCAGGAAATCTCACATAATTTGTGGTGTAATTAGTGATGTGCCGCGCATAGTATGTTACGCATAAGGGTTTAGCTATGTTTTTTATAAACATTAATTTTTTAATAAAACATTTCCAAGAAACAATTAAATATGCCATTCACTTTTTTATTATTATGTACGCATTTATGACATTTCCCTCCATATGATATACATTATGCGCACTATGCGCGAAAAAAAAAAATTTCAGGGTTACTATGAATGGCACATCTCTAGGTGTAATTCATTGCAACCAATGTTGTACACGGGACATGGCATCTATTTGAATCTAGACCTACCACAAAATCTCATATAACTTTACAAACTAGCCATTTTTCCTTATGCATATAATCTAGGTCCTGGCCAAACTGTCTCTCATATTGAAATTTTAATGTCCCATTCAGCCTCTAAGCTTATTTAAATACCTAATTAATAAAAATAAGCAAATTTAATTTTGCAATTCCATTTTCCACTCATGTATATCAATTATGAATTTGTAACATATCGATCTCCACACATTGTTGTTAATTGATATGTTTTTATCAAGCCACGATTTTAATGGACTGATCCGATTATTTGTTTATTTGATTGGTTCAATGCTAGCAATGCCAAGTATTAGACTTTGCTTAATTAAAAAATTAGTTATTGCGTGTGTGATAATAGAAAAATCAGAATGGTTGCAGAGTTAAAATAATGGCACGTATCCTCGATCATTCGGTCATCTTTGACACATTCATCGTATGTTTCTGATGCATTCAATAACTGATTTATTATATGTCAGAATATGAAACATTCCAGATGGAAATTTAGCGTTGTATATTTGTGTATTTTTAATAATGTGTAACATACCTTTAATTTTTGTAAAAATATCCCACATATCTTTAATTAGAAATGCGTAAATAATAATAATAAAAATAATAATAATAAATAAACAATAGTTATTTATGTTAATTGGTGTATTGATAAATTATTCAAATTAATTCATTGAGTCGCTTGAATATTAAAAATATTTTTTTTAAATCATAAAATATTTCCATTATTTATAAATAATTCTTAACGTGTGCGCATCTACAAAAGTGCGCTTCTTTTTTTTTAAATTGGTTTTTCCTCCTCTTCTCATAATCTATCAATTTATCATCTATCCATCCATCAATCTCACCATTGATTCTTTTTCTGTTGCCAATTCTTTACTTCCCCTCAGGAATTGGCTGTCTACTTTACCTCATTTATTCCACTAATTCACTCGTTCATTCTCAAACCATTGTCACTACATTATCTTTAATTTTATTTGTTCAATAAAAAATACAATGCACCAAAGATATTGTTGTAAATCCGTTACTAAATTTAACAACACCAATATATTAATGTTACACAAATTATGTGTGCATTTTATATAAATATGGGTTACCTTTTTTTAATGAATTTCTTTTCTATCGATTTTTTATCCTTTCTCTCTTCTCCTAAATCATCCATTCGTCTTCATTAACACGCATCTCACCCCATTCTTTTCACTATACACAATTTCTTCGCCTCAGTAATTGGGTGTCCACTTCATTCTTTTTCACTTTATAAATCAATCATAATAGACTTATTCTAAAGAAAAACAAATAATCATAATCAAAATGATTGCTTCTAAAATTTGTTCAATTACCATTGCATTGTATTTGGTTTCATGCTTGTTTTCGGCTGTTTTAGTCGATTCGGCTAAAGTCAAGTGTGATAAAAAAGCTTTAAAGAAAGAATTCAATATAGATAAACAAGAATTTGTGGTCTTGCTTGAACATAATAAAGGATCAACCTCTGCCGCTTCCGATGATTCAGAAAATACGGCAATCCTTAAACAACATTTGAATTTTTTTAAAGACTGCTTGGACATAGATCCTAAACCACTTTTAGATAAAAATGATGGGAAAATTTCCACAAAGAAAACTTCACCGGATACAGTATTGCATTTTTCTGGTGGCAACCTTTTTGGTTATATTGGTTTTTTTAATCCTCGATTAATTGAACAACAAATCAAATCATTACCTAATATTAAATTAGTTGAAAAGGTAACAGAAGTTAAAGCCTTCGCTCCTGTACAAAATAATGGTGGTAGTACAACCGTTAGTACTTCATTTTATGACTTGGATCGTATAGATCAAAGAGATAATAAATTAAATGGAAAATACACTTTTCCTAGTTCAGCTGGTGGAAATGTAAATGTCTACGTGGTTGACACTGGCATAAATTCAAAAAGTAAAACGGAATTTGGCGATCGTGTCAGATTTGGTTTTTTTTGTTCTAAATGTGCTCCAATAGATGATAATGGCCATGGCTCAGCAGTTGCAAGTGTTATTGGTGGTAGCAGTTTCGGTGTAGCGAAAAAAGTTAATCTTATAGCTGTCAAAGTGCTTACTGCATCAGGAACAGGAACTAGTAGTGATGTTATTGCCGGTTTATTATTTGTATTAAATGAACATAGAGCAAACAGGAATAAAAATACAGTTGTTAATATGTCATTGGGTGGCGGATTTTCTCAAGCATTAAACAATGCAGTTCAAACTCTCACAGATGCAGGTATACATGTTATCGTAGCTGCCGGAAATGATGCAATTAATGCTTGTAAGGTCTCACCTGCAAGTACACCATCAGCAATTACAGTGTGCGCAACTGAAAAGACAAGTGATTCAATTACTAATTTCTCAAATTTTGGATCTTGCGTTGACATTTGTGCTCCCGGTAGAAATGTTCCTTCACTTTTCCTTGGCACCATACCTAGAGAATTATCTGGTACAAGCCTCTCATCTCCGCTAGTTGCGGGTGCTGTTGCTTTAAAAATCAGTGCTTTTGGTAATCTTAGTCCTTCAAAAATGGCCGCTAAATTATTTTCAGATAGTACCAAAAATATTATTACAGGATTACCAGCTGGCACACCAAATAGATTCTTATTTGTTTCTCAAAAAATATGATTAAGTGTAAATAAATAGGGCGATTAATTATCATTTTAAAAAATAAACAAATTCTTTATTTTATTTGTTTTGGTTAAATAATTTAATTAAATTTTATTTTGGAAATTAATCGTTTTTTTTATTGTTTATTTGTTTGCTACTATTTACTAAAACAAATAATTGAATACTAAATATTTGTGTACGTATATTAATATTTAAAAAATTACTATTATTATTATTATGCTTTGATATAATTCCTAATTATCCATATACATTAATTAAATTTTTATTTTGCCAGATAATTCCTTCGTCTCAAAACTTGCTTATCTACTCACGTCATTCGTTCTTTCTATAATGTAAAATAATGATAAGTATGATTTAATTTCTTCTGAATTTTTTCAATTTTTACCATATTATCTTTCTGCGATTTTAGTTAATGTAAAACAAGAAAAATAATTAAAGAACTGTTGCTAATGTTTCGGGAAGCTCAACAACTATTGAATACTATCATTTAAATATTTGAAAGAATGCCGAGGTATAGATCGGTTCTAAATCAGTTTTATATGATATAGTAACCTAAAAATTTTCCTTTGAAAAATATAGCATTGCAGTTTTATGTTGTCACTCTTAGTTTTTGGTTATTTAATGTACAACTTGCTAAAAAACAAGACAAAACATTACCTAATATTTAAATAGTTGAAAAGGTATTATAGGAAGTTCTTTTACATAAAAAATAAAGCTGTTCAAGATGCGCCACTTAATTTGGATCATATAAATTTACCTTTAAATTAAATTTCAAACGATTGTGCATATATTTATTTCCTTTATTCTTATGCCTAAACAAAATTATACCGCTTGGTAGAGGTGTAGATGTCTAATAGAATTGCGATATTGACCGCTTTATAAATACTTGTGTTGACATTTTGTTCCTGGTAGAGAGGTGTCATAGTTATTAATGGTGCAGGCTTTGGTATAGTGTTTTCATCTCCAAATATTGCTATTGCTTTACAAGTCCTGAAAAATGACCCAAAGAATAATAATAATAGCTTAGTCAACATAGTGAAATTTTTCTATTTTACTCTCACTTTCCAAAAAATAAAAACTTGCAACTTGTAATTGAAATTGTTAGCAATAGCAATAGAGATAGCAGTAAAAATAAAGATAGAAAATGGAAATAGAAACGGATATTAAGAATAGTGATATTAATATTAATATTAAGATTGAATGTTGCACCGGATTCATTTTGTTGTTTTCTTACGATTGATAATAATAATATTAATAAAATTTTTGAATCAAATTAAAATCCGTTTAACCTTGACGTTACGAAGCTCCAAAGGGTAGTAGCGGTAGTGGTGGTAGTGATAGTAATGGTGGTAGTGGTGATGGTAATGATGGTAGTAGTGGCAATAATCGTAATGCCATGGGTAATAAAAAAAATAAAATTATTATTATCATCATCATCATTATAACTTGCCCAATATAATATATTTTGTTAATATTTAACTTATTCCAAATGATCTGATAATTAAAAAAAAAATCATTAAATTGAATAATAATATACCAAATGCAAATAATTTCTATTTTCTAAAAATAAATAATTAATAATAAAAAAAATATGATCGCGTAACGAATTGTACACTGTCAGATAGTCAGATCGTTCAACCTTTGGAAAAAGAAATAAATATATTAATAAATAATTAATAATAAAAAAAATATGATCGCGTAACGAATTGTACACTGTCAGATCGTCAGATCGTTCAACCTTTGCAACCTTTGGAAAAAGAAATAAATATATTAATAAATAATTAATAATAAAAAACTATGATCGTGTAACGGATTGTACACTGTCAGATCGTCAGATCGTTCAACCTTTGCAACCTTTGGAAAAAGAAACAAATATATTAATATAATCACACATACCTTTTAATAATAGCAGTAACATCGGTGCTTGTTATCTTGAAATAATTGTCATCTTCTGGTCAATTGATATGACTTTAACTCAAAATTTTACATATGTTATTTATTTACATTAATATATAAATGTATAAATAAAACCATTAATAATCATTAATAAATTTTTTTTTCTTTTAACCTATATATATTACATATTAATAACATCTCCATCAGATCCTTGTAATGCATTAATAAATAAATACTTTTTAATTTAATCATTACACTTCTAAATATATATAAAAAATAGATGAAATAAAAATTAATGAAGCTAACCTTTAAAAATATTAAAAAAACCAAATTAATTCCATTTTATTAATAGCCATTCTTGAAAAGAGTCTGTTATGCGAATTTGTTTTTGTTTGAAAATATTAAATAAATATCAATAAATTTTGTTCGATACAATCTTCTATTTCATCCAGCAATGTATATTAATATATTAATATTATTAGGTAAAATGTTTATTATTATTATGAAAATAATCTTTAAAAAGCAAATTTGAAGTTAACACTTTTCTATGTAATTTAAAAAAATAGACATTTAAAGGTTGGAAATTAGAACTTAACTATTACATTTATTATTATTAAGCCCAGAGATTGAAATTGTGCATGTTATCTAGTGTTCCATGTCGCAATCCAAAAAAGGAAACAAAATGGTCGTAAAGGTGGTTGCAACCAGTGGTTGCAATCATTTTTATATGACGCAAAGGTGGTAGCAACCATCATCAAAAGTTGCAGCCGGTATCCTTAATGTTATCCAATTTCTTAATTTATTATAGAACTTATAAAACTGATAGTCCAACTTCATGTTAAGATTATCGCTTAGTGGCATTTGTTTACCCTGGCAAAAAATACATCAAAATAAAGGTTTTTCATGTTATTTTTTATGATTCACGTAACAATTTGATTAAATCGGGCAAGTTTGTGTATGAAAGCATGATTTTTTTCTTTGTTTTTTATAAAATTCCGTGTTGATCAAAAAAAATTTATTAGTGAGTGACACTTGACCCCCTGTAGATCCGCAATGTCCTGCGACAGCATATAGTTGGCTTGGTCTAAAGACCTCCTAAATTTTGGGCAAATTTTAAAAGTATAGAAGTCATTTTCTGTCCTACC